ATAATTCATATAGTTTTTTTCACTGACCCCCTACCCCCCTCTTAATTTAATTTCTTAATTTGGGAAAAATTGATTGACCAATAAGGATATATATAAAATCGATGTTAATTAAACAAAACTTGCAGCAATTTTGACCCCCTCCCCCCCCCCCCCCCCCCCCAACTATTTGAATTAAGTTTTTTATCCTTCATTGATTTTCTGATGTCGTCCCTTATCCTCTCTATGTAAACCCAATTCATGTCCTGATAAATGGTGACTCATGCATAGCATCATATGTGGTTATTAAAACAAGAAACATATTCATATTATAATAATTAATGTATGCTAGGACTTATAGATAGATGGCATTAGTCCCAGGTCATGTAATAAAGTAGGTCTTATAAAAATACAATAGCATTTTAATTTTGATGATTATATATATGTTTATATATTTAATAATGCCATTTTTTTGGAAAAAAGGTAGGGGCAAGGCGTTTTTAAAACATATCAATGGGACGCGTTTTTTTTTTGTTCTTCGGAAGTGAGCCAGAAGAAGTCCATTTCTGTTTTTTTTGCATTGGGAAGATCTTCTGGCTCTCTTCCACCTCTTCTTTTTTGATAGGTTGACGGCAGAGGCACATAACAAACATGGCGTCGTTTAGTCTAAATGAAATTAATAAATTTATGAATGCAGATATATTAGAATGTGAGCTGTTTTATAAACGTTTTATGGTATGACAGCCTTAGTAGGACATCCCTGTAGGACGATAAGCTGGATAAATATAAGAACTACACGGACAATAACAGTTAAGGGACGATTATTTGATATTCTAGGGAAGGGATTTTGATTGATTGGTGTTTTACGCTACTTTCAACACTATTGGGCTATTCCGTGGTGGTCAGTTTAAATTTATAGATGAAGGATGGGGAAGGGGAGAGGGGGCATTATTATTCATTTCAATCTGTCGCTAATCATGCCTATTTTTCAGCTCTTACCAGGCAACCATATTCATATATGAAATCCTTCTGTCCCCCGACCCAACAAATAAATAAATATCAAATGGGTTTCCTCTAATTTAACACAAGTTTAAATTGATTGATTGTTTGTTGCTAATTTTAACGCCCAGTGAAAATTATGTCATGCTTGTTCAGGAAAACACGAGTTTAGAAGTCACGTATATAATATAAAAATGAAGAGATGGAATATGATTGCTAATAAGGCAACTATCCACCGGAGTTCAAATATGAAGTGGATGTAAGCAATTATAGATAAGATAAGAAAAATTTATTTTAATTCGGGTTACATGAAATACTACAAACATGAGCTCTGTAGAGCTTTTTGCCGTCATGTAGACAAATGATTTTTGTAGACAATCGTAAAGCCTTCAACAATGACAAAAACCTGATACTGTAAAGTCGTCTATAAAAGGCCCTACATTAAAAGTGTGACTGACAATTCAAACGAAAAAACTAACAGCCTAATTATACATAACAAAACAATTTACAAAATATCAAATATGAGTCGAGACAGGAACCAACGACAACCATTAAACTACAGGCTCCATCCCTGGGACAGGCAAATAAAGAATATGGCAGGGTGGATATAAAAACGAAGATGTGGTATGATTGCAGATGAGACAACTCTCCACAAGAGATCAAATGACACAGAAATCAACAGCTATAAGTCACCGTACGGCCTTCGACAATAAGCAAAGCCTACACCACATAGTCAGCTATAATAGGCCCCGAAATCAAAAATGTAAAACAATGCAATCGAGAAAACTAACGGCCGAATTAATGTACAAAAAAATGAACGAAACACAAATATGTATAACAAAGCAACAAACGGCAACCACTGAGTTACAGGCTCCTGACTTGGGACAAGCACATACATACAGAATGTGGCGGGGTTAAACATGTTAGCGGGATCCCAATCCTCCCCCTAATCTGGGACAGCGGTGTAACAGTACAACAACATGTTTATGAGCAACCCATCCCGAAGCTGGGACAGTGGTGTAACGGTACAATAAAATAACAACCTGCACAAATCAGCAAATTACTCAAAAGATCGATAGGAGACACACACAAAAACTAACATTAAGACAATAGACACAAAGCACCGACATAAGAGTATTTGCAATTACTGGAAGTTTGCTCAAACCTAATTACAACTGGTACTGAAATAAATCTTGTTCTCCCAGACCGAGTTATCAATCAGTACACAACGCGCGGCAAAGGATTTATTAAAAAAAGAAAACAGTCTGAGAAACGTCTGGTTTACGTTGAATATACATATAAGAAGATGTGGTATGAGTGCCGATGAGACAACTCTCCATCAAAGTCATAATTTGTAAATGTAAACCATTAAAGGTCAACGTACGGTCTTCAACACGGAGCCTTGGCTCAAACCGAACAGCAAGCTATAAAGGGCTCCCAAAAATTAGTAGTGTAAAACCATTCAAACGGGAAAACCAACGGTGTCTAATCTATTTAAAAACCCGATATACTTGCATATAAATCCATATACAATGAAACGGTTTTTGAAAAGTGGACCGAACGTTTTGACCATCGAAATTTTGCAATAGAAATACTAGTTATGACCACAAGTTTTTAACAGCCAGTGCAGGACTCGCACGAACGTTAGATTTAGTTAGAGGGGCGATATTCTGACGCGTTTTTTAATTCTTGGTCACCCATGTTTAGAAAGAAAGGGGAGAAATCCAAACAATTTCCGACCAATCACAAACGTTGTTGCAAATTTGACCTTATGACGTTAAAGAATTTCCCATAATGCAATTATTGCATATAAATAAAAAACTACTATACCAATTGAATAAAAAATATTGCATTCAAATGACATTTTATACCAATTGAATAAAAACTATTGCATTTGAATGAAAATCATACCATTTGAATGAAAAATTATACCATTTGAATGAAAAATTATACCATTTGAATAAAAAATATTGCATTTAAATGAAAAAATATACCATATAAATGAAAAATTATACCATTAAAATAAAAAATATTGCATATAAATGAAAAAATATACCATTTAAATGAAAAAATATACCATACAAATGAAAAAATATTGCATATGAATGAAAAAATATACCAATTAAATGAAAAATATTGCATTTAAATGAAAAATATCAAATTTTTGCAACCAATACCATGCCATAGTAAACTTTGAATTTACGTAATTTGTAATTATTTTTAAAAACCCGAAAAGTTGTAGGTGCGGCTTTATCTGTAGAATATGAGTTTTATCAAGAAAGGTTATCACTTTTTCGTTAATTAGAGAAAAGGTACAGAGGACGGGTGAATTGTCCATGTCTCTGTGTGTTTATTCAAAGGAATTTATTGACATCTTTCTATAAATAACATTGAATACCAAACTATTATCTAAATTTTATATATGCTTTTTTCTAATCATTTTAAAAATACAAGTCGTCATTAAAAAATGAGTAAATGTGGTTTGATTGAGATAACTATCCACCAAATGTTACGGTGGATTATTAACCAAAGTATGTTTATAAGTAAGAAATAAAATACCAAAATGACAATAATATTATTTTCTTATGATTCTCAAAATAAGAAACATTTTGGGATAATGGTTCGGTCACAAAAGTGTCCTGTTTTTTTGTAATCATGAGTGTTAACCCTTAGTTTATAATCAAATGCTCCGTTGTTTTCTGTTTTTGTTACTTTTTCCGTGTTATGGCTTATTTTTTTATTGCAATCCTCTTTGGAAGAAAGAGTTCTTAATATAACAATTCCCTTTCTCCTACGATAAGCAAAACTTTAACGCATAAACTTATTACGTGTGCGTCAATATGTCAAGCCCTAAATCCTTCTATGTCTAGAAAAGTTGTGAATAAAATATCTGCTAGTAACACACAAATTCCTAAATGACTAAAACATTTAGATTTAACCAAAAGCGAGGCTCCTGTTTGGGGTGGGCACCTTCATATTGTCTGGATAAAACTTTCATTTTATCCTTTCATTCCGTTGTGAGTTCAAGCGACTTTTTCCGAAACGATTTAAATTAGTCTTTCTACGTTAGGAGATTTTTTTTTAAGGAAATAATCAAAACAGAATTTTCTGCGTTCATATATTAACTAGTATATGCTATATTGGGTCCTGATGTTTGTTTCACGTAGATCTAAAGCCTGACATTAATTAATGACTGCGGAAAGAATTTATATTCTTCCTCTATCATTCAATCATGTGTTGTATCATTTACCCCTTTTGATTGACAGAATGGACACCATTAACAACATTTTAGCTGTATTTTACGTTTACTGAAGTGTCTATATATTCTTCAATTGTGACAATTTTGTGAGGTTAATATTAGTTTAAGATTGAAAGTCGTAATTGCCTACTCTCTTGAAATCAACTTCCTGTGACGATGTAATATCAGAAATAGAATTTTCAGTCTTTTGTGATTTGATTGTCTGTCTTATAAACAGATAGTACACCGTCAGTTTCATTTGATGTCAAAATTAAGAAAGAAACAACTTTTCCAAATTATATTTAAATGAAGCTATAAGCCTTTTTTTTTAGAAAGAAGATCTTGTGATTAAAAACAAAAAATATCATTATGTAAATGTACAACCACAAAAATAATATTCTTTCAAACACTATAATATTAAAGAACATTTGAATTGTGTTGTAGATTTTTAGGATTGTTACAACGATCGCTTGGGATTATAAGTGACACTTTTTTATACTACAATTTGTTGCAATATAATTCCATTTTCATGATAATGGTTAGATTTATCTTGATTTAAAGTGCATTAAACAACATTTTGCTTAACAATGGCGAATATTTTTCAGACTATCACACTCAAAACGATCCTATACAAGTAGATGCTTGCGGCAGCATAAGTCAACTGTTTCTAGTTTTGCACTTTTAGTTCATGATTGTTTAATTATATGCAGATAAAAACTGAGATAATATAAACTTAACACAGCAAAACGCAATTTCTTTTAGCTTATAGTAAACACAAAACACATCGGCCGGCTATATCTTTATTGCAGTATATGTACAGAAATAAATATGTAGATTATGATGTAATATGTCATGTCCGTTTTACCATTTCGAGAAGAGATGTCCTTAATAAGCCCCTTTTTTTGCACCATATCCGATACCCAAACCATATCCGCTACCCAAACCATATCCTCTACCCAAACCATATCCGCTACCATATCCAATGTAATCTCCACCATATCCTCCGATATGTCCTAAACCTATTCCATATCCCTTGCCATATCCACCATATACTCCGCCATATCCTAATCCAATCCCGCCATATCCTAATCCATATCCGCCATATCCTAATCCAATCCCGCCATATCCTAATCCAATCCCGCCGTCTCCTAATCCATAACCACCATATCCTAAACCATAACCACCGTATCCTAAACCATAACCGCCATCATAGCCTCCACAACCCTTACCATAACACGGAGCATGGGCATTTATGCACACGGCTGACAATAGTACAACGAGAGCAATGGCGAGCTTCATTTTTAGCTAAAAATGTTATAAAGAGGATAAATGAAAATAAAAATATACACAGCAGTAATTATAGATTATACCATGTCCTTTTCCATATCGGCCCTTGTATCATCCCGAGACTCCCATACCAGACCAAGGCGCTAGCCGAGGTCTCATATGGGTCGAGGGATGATACCAGGGCCCATATGGAAAAGGACATGGTATAATCTATTTATCACATATTATACAAATGCTTAAAAAAGAAGAAAGCATTTTTTTATTCCGTCTGGAAAGGTCATACATTTTTTGTCCGCCACTGAAATATCTTTATTATTAAGAAGCCCCCAACCGTTCAAAACTATAGTCCTTGAACATTATTATGTCAATGTAAGATTTTCATTTAGTATTAGTGTTTTTTAGTTTATTTCTTTAACAAATACCGCTGTTATTTTAATCGACGTTTCTCGTCTGTCATTGTTGTTCGGAACGTTTTGACATATAATGATATTTTCTCTGGATCTAGAACTCTATCATTATAGAAACTGTTGTGTACGGTAAATATCTATAATTGGTTTATTTGCCAATGTGCGTTCGGTCCATTCTACTCTATAACATGTTGATTTTATGGATTAATGTTAAATAATGACACGATATTACATTTTTTGATAATAGATTTAATAGTACAAAGCTGTAGGCGTAGAAAATATTTTATTTCTTTCGGTCCATTCTACTCTATAACATGTTGATTTTATGGATTAATGTTAAATAATGACACGATATTACATTTTTTGATAATAGATTTAATAGTACAAAGCTGTAGGCGTAGAAAATATTTTATTTCTTAATTTCAATTTTAAAATGTTATAAAGATTATTAGTGTATATTTTGATTGTGATTGAAAGTTAATTATCAATGCAAGATCTCGCGTTGTCCCTATGAGACGGTCTGTCGAAATGACCATCATAAACTATGTAGTTTTATCTCTTGTTTTTCCTGAGCGTGCCTTGGCCGTTGGTACGGGGAGGAACTTTCTTAGTTGTTTGTAAATGATTAGTGAACGAAATGTATGAAAGTTTACTCAAACAAAATATTATATATTTATTATATTATGTTGAATATTTAATAATAAAATCTGCCGTCCAGCGTACTTGACGGGCTAGTCGGCAAAATTAATTTCATTAAAACAATTGATTAAAACTTGCAGCTCTAAAAAAAAAACATAAGCATTCTAATGAATAAGTCAACCCTCCCCCCCCCCCCCCCCCCCCCCACTCCCAATGAAAAGACATAAAAAAAACCAAAGAATTATGATAATTGTCAAGAAATTGCTAGCCAGCAATTTGAATTGACTAACTATATGAGGGTCTGGATGGGGAGTATAAATTTCTTTATTGTTTAATGTTTAGGCAATTTTTCTCTATTCGTTATTTTTTGCCAATTTTAATATCTATGTTAATATTTTAGCACACAATTTTCTCTGTACTTTATTATTTTTTTTTCTCTCTGTTTTTTTTCCCCCATTTTTTTTCTATTCTTAATTTCTATTCTTCTTTTCTGCTCATTGTTCTGTTTTTCCCCAATATTCTCTATTCTGTAAATCCCATCCAGATCCTGCTATATTCATAGTCTCAAAAGTCATCATCTTATCACCTACAAAGATCATCGTCTGCTAAACCTTATTACAATTAACTCCAGTTCATTTCTAATGAAAGAGTGAGGATAAAACATAGAATCTCAAACAAAATACAAGATATTTCACTTACCTTTTGAGACGTTGAATTGTGCAGATGAAGTATTTTCAGTGGTTTATATACTCTAGGATGGACCACAAGATGGATTAATATTGCCAATTCGTCAAAATAAAAGTTTGACATTGAAATATACGATTTTTTTATTATTTTGTTTTTATCCTTCTAATGAGGTTACATGTCTAATAAAAATAACCGCTCATTAGACTATAATTTATCAACATGATTTACAATATATATCCTTTGTAATAGTAGTAAGTATTGGGTTCGGTTTTCAGAACTTTCTACTGGAATATGAATGACTTTTAGAGGTTTTTATGACATTCCGATTTTAAATTTCAAGTACATTGACTGATGACCACGTGCACACAGACAACGAATGCAACTTTTTTACATGAAATTTTTAGTGTGTTCAATTATCTTTTTTATGTATATTTATACGTAATGGTTCTCATTCTTTAGGATGCAAACGTTGGTTTAAAAAAAAATTAAAAAAACATTCTTAAACAGCATATGATGTATAATCTTTCTTTTAATAGAGGACTGAAAAGAAAGGTGAATTTACAGTACGTAATTTATCATTAAAACGTTCTGAATATCACGAGCAGTAGGCATGCCATTTAGCATCACACGTATTTGAAATGAAACACAAGGCACATACTACAGATGAAGCCATGAAGCCTTTTAGAATTTAAAATATTTTAAAACACCAACCGTCAGTTAGAAGAAATCGAAGCGCGAAAGCGCTGTAAAGGCAGTTAATTACAGGTTGTGTGTATTTTTAGTCCAGTTATATCATTATCTTGCATAGTACAGTGTACATGTACTTATCAGAGGTGGCTTTCAGTATTTAGGATTTAGAGTTTTCTAATGATATTGAACAAGTTTTATGAATGTCATATTCTGAGCACTATATGAAGGTGATTGTTCTCACTTGTTTATGAACTAGTGCATTATGTCCAGTTTGTACCTTTTTTATCTATGTTTATAGTCAAATTAGTTATCAAAGGTACCAGGATTATTATAATTTAATACGCCAGACGCGCGTTTCGTCTACATAAGACTCATCAGTGACGCTCAGATCAAAATAGTTACAAAGCCAAACAAGTACAAAGTTGAAGAGCATTGAGGACCCAAAATTCCAAAAAGTTGTGCCAAATACGGCTAAGGTTATCTATTCCTTGGATAAGAAAATCCTTAGTTTTTCGAAAAATTCAAAGTTTTGTAACAGGAAATTTATAAAAATGACCATATAATTGATATTCAAATACTGTTTAAAATAGTTAGGCATTTTCTTTTTAGTAATAAGTAAATGTTATCAACTGTATTTTATTCAACTCTGCAAATGTGGTTTGTTACTGGTAAGTATGGATGATAGTTGTTTCATTGGCAATCATAACACATCTCCTTATTTATATAATGATCTATATTCAACGACCTCATGTACAAAAAAAATGTATGTAACTAAACTATGATGGGAAACCTTTGTCTTCTTTCTTTTATATAAACTTTTTATTTTGTACCATTGAACTATGTAGAATAAATGTACATTGCAACATGTCAACTCTTTCAATGACAATACTTTTTTTAGAAACTATAACTCCAAGCAAAATTATATTTCCAAGTATAAAGTAATTTATGAATGAAAAAAAGGAGTTCTTAATTAAGAAATAAACTGATTCGCTGAGCGCAGCTGGATACACCCGCAGAGGTCCAACCCTGAACAGTTGGGGCAAAAATGGACACAATATTCAAGCTTGATACATGTCTGAATTTGGATTGTAATTAAATATTTGACATATTATAAAGAACTTGAAATCGGTTATATGAATTGAATTTATATTCAATTAAAGATTTCTTGCTGTTGTGCAATACACTGTGCTGTTGCGCAATACTTAATAAATCTGTTGCCAGACTATAAACAAATAAAGTTCAATTTCCTCTCAATGTCATATTTGAAATTTATGAAAATCAATAGGAGAGATTTACATCAATAGCTATAAATAATTCACCAAAGTTTCATGTGAACTGCTTAAAGCATTTTTGAGTTGTCCAAAAACTGGAAAATCCCCCCTTTTTTAATGAATAAAACCCCATAACTCAGAAATGTAAAATCTAAAATTTATAAAATTCTAAAGGGAGCTTACGGATTGATAATTTAGTCTTAGATGCAAGATTCTTTTATCAGTTGTAAGTGGCTTTGAACTAGCTGTCAGTAACTGCGAGTACTCTCAGATCTGTACTTAGTGTCTTTTTGTTGTTTGGATGTACAACTACCCGACCACGTCCACTTGTATTTGTATTTATCCATCTGATGAGTTAAGCCTCTTCCAACTGATTTTTATAGTTCGTTCTTATATTGTACTGTTACACCACTGTCCCAGGTTAGGGGGAGGGTTGGGATCCAGCTAACATGTTTAACACCGCCACATTCTGTATGTACATGTATATGCCTGTCCCAAGTCAGGAGCCTGTAATTCAGTGGTTGTCGTTTGTTTATGTGTTGCATATTTGTTATATTCGTTCATTTTTTGTACATAAATTAGGCCGTTAGTTTTCTTGTTTGAATTGTTTTACATTGTCATTTCGGGGCCTTTTATAGCTGACTGTGCGGTATGGGCTTTGCTCATTGTTGAAGGCCGTACTGTGACCTATAGCTGTTAATCTCTTGTGGAGAGTTGTCTCATTGGCAATCATACCACATCTTCTTTTTTATATTTACATCAACAGATATAAACAATTCACCAAAGTCAAGGTGAGACAACAAAACTTAGTTGTAAGATCTCTGAAATTTTTTACACGGTACGAGTTTTTCTCATTGTTGGAGATTGTACGGTGACAGTAACACCTGTAACTGCTTAAACCCATTTCTTATGCACTTTAGTTCGATAAACTCACTGAATATCATACCACATCTCCTTATTTTTATATGCATTACAATTTACATGTGCATGTAATTGTAAATATATATATATATCAGAACAAAATTCATTGCGTCACTTTTATTTATGCATCCTTTGGCACAATACAAGTTCTAAAATTACACAACATAAAACAACTAAATGTTATTTCAGATGAAAGTTTTGTTTCAGTTCCATTCATAGGATTTATTAGAATTTTGTATGTTTTGCCAAGTCCAATAATTCGCTCTATGTGCACGTATTAATTGGAGACTTTTCTATCCCGTATAAGAGTTTTGGAACTAATTCTGTTTCTTTTTTTGAAAAAAGTTAGCAAACAAATCATGCACATTTAAACCTTTGTCTGCCATCACAGTCACCTGGATC